GATTTTCCAGAAATGATCTACGCGATTGATCACGAGAGGAAACACTATAATTGCCGAAGATGAGAGGTTTCGATGAAAGAAGTTAAGTGGTATTAATTTTAAACTCTCGGTTCAACTCACTCTTTATTAAGTATTTCTAATTCTGAGAATTAGAAAAGGATGAACCGAGATTGAAGTTAACCTACATTGGTAGAAATGGACAAGAGCAACTCAACTACTCATAAGAACAATTTATCTGATACTATATGTTTCCGCTGGCCTTGATTTCACTGAACATATAATATTACTCTACTATAACTATAATTAAATAGACTAGCAATATAACGGTTTGCGATGACAAGAAGTTTAAAGAAGAAGAAGAAGAAGAAGAAGTTATGGTTGTCTGATGAAGTAAAGCGCGTTTCGCATGCGAGAGCTAGGTGGGAATTTCTCATCTCAACCGTTACATGCAGGATTTTCTAATAATGCGGTTCGGTTACTATTGTAAATCATATGATAATTATTGTAGCGGTCGATATAGAGAATACGGGGCAAGCAGACGGTCGTATGGTGTTTGTTACAAATTGCTTTCGTGTGAGAGATTTCCATTATGTAAAAGTAGTGCCAAGAATGTATAATCTTGTGCTCATCGCCGTGCTTAACAATACCACTTATAACAGTTAGCACGCACGAAAATACTATGTAGGCATGCGTTACTCTCTCGCTTTTGTAAAGAAGAAAATTGGGACTCTCGCACGTATTCAATTTGATGTCAGACGATAATTATTTAACAACTTGCAACATTATGTAAACGCTTCATTTCTCTGGAATGTACAATTAACTTTTTAAACTAATTTTTTATTTGCAATTCCAAAAATGATATGTCACTTTCCTTAGTGGAGATACATGGCTAATTCAATACATAAAATTATCATAAAATCATTTTTAATAATATTGTATTTACTAAGAACTAATCACAGAAATAAACGTTACATTACTAGATTACTGTACTCTTCCTCTGTGATTTCGATAAAAGAGAAAAGCCTCCATTTGTCTGTTCAGCTAGTAACATAACGGGTAAAAGTTGCAGCCGTTGGCGCGTGATTTGTCACTCTCGGTGCTCCAGAGTGACTCGCTTCTATCGGCACTCAACAAAACCCCGTTGATCTCGCGCGTTAAGCAGGAAGACACGTTGCCTTTGGTTCGGCACGTTCATTCATGACTGGTAAGAGTTGCACGGGACGCGACGACAACGACAGCACAACGAGGGACTAACAAAAGCGTTCGCGCCTATTCAACTTGAGCTCGTATAATTTCGCCGTGCGCGAAAGAAAAGTATAGAGAGGCACGAATGAAGGAACGTGTAGGTGTGAACGATACTCGCGATTCGAACTCAAGAAGCCGAGAGATGAAGTCTGCGTTAAGCCTGTAGGCAAAATGTTGTTGCAAACGACGGTTGAACATTTGATCAGTAATTTCGACATAGTCAAATTAAATTACGATAATAAAGATGATAATATAATAAAGAAGAAAACAAATGATACCAAAAAATACGATAGAAACCAGTGTATATTAATGTCAAAATAATGGGATAACTAATTATTAGTACAAATTAGTTCGGTCCGTTTTTTGTGTTCAAAAACGCATTTATTTCAAAACATGAATGAACAGATTAATTAAAGTATTGTCCATCGCTGGCTACTACTTTTTCCCATCTCTCAGGCAATTTTTGAATTCCATTTCGAAAAAATGACTCGTCTTTGGAGGCGATTATCTTTTGGATAATGGACCGAACTAATTTGTACTCCTAATACAATTAAATTACAATAATTCTTGCGGGTAAAAATATCATTAGCGCAAGTACATCGCAGTTTTGATATAATTTCATTCACATATCTAGAGCAAGATCGCCAATTATCCTTTCCTAAATGTGTTTCTTCGGTAAGTTCACGAATCTTCGACTGCCTACCGCTTTTAAATAAACGTCATCTATAAGATGAAGAATTCCCACGCAGCCGTTGCTGCCGCCCTTTGGGGTCAACGATCTCTTTGGATATACGAGCGGGTCATGCGAAGCGATTAGAACTACTATTGTTCAGGACTTCTGGTATGGTGGTAATTTATTTCTGGGAGTATAAGCTACCGCGCGATAAATTATTGGAACTATAATTAAAGTTTGATGAAGACGATTTCAATTACGTTTGTATTTGATATCTTCTTTTTACGAGAATGTTTCAATGAACGAGTGGAAAGTAAATGTATAATAATATTTGATACTATATATACTTTAGGTTTATGTAAAATTCCGGTATGTTAAGTTAGCACCCCAACTATAGTACTCAGGAGTTCTGATTAGAGTTCCCTATAGTTAATAACAAGAGTTCCGCTCAATAAACATTTTTTAAAAATGGGGTGTAAACATTTTATCGAATTTCGAGGTGGAATAGTTCTGAACGGCTTAATAGTTTCAATTTGCGATTGCCTATAAGAGTTCCTAACATGTAAAAAAAATTTTCGAATATTAAAAGAAAATTAAAAGTTTTTGAAAAATTAATTTTTAGATACAATAGTTCTGATGATAATTTCTGCTTCTTTTTGACGATACGAAGAGTTCTCTATGATTTTTAATGACATATGCGCTTAATAATCATTTTTTAATAATTTTTTAAAAATGGAGTGCTAACTTTTTAACGAAATTCAAGGTCGTATAGTTCTGATCAGCTTAACAGAAGTATTTTGTGAATACCTAGAGTTCTTGATACATAAAAAACATTTTTAAAGAATAATAAAGTTTAAAAATAGTAGAAATCTTTGAAAATTTTTTTGAGAGTACCGAGTAGTTCTGAGTTGCGTTTCTTATAGTACTCGACGAGTTCTATCGAAAACTGTAAGGTGAAAAAGCGATTAGACCAACGGTTTGCAAGATACAGCGACATTTGTCAGAAGATCAACAATTTTTAAAGTGAGTATATCTCGGAAACAGTTGGTCCAATCGCTTTGAGCCCTCATACTTTTCGACAGAATTCGCCGAGAACTGTCCAGAACTCCGATCAGAACTACTCGGTACTCCCAAAAAATTTTGACTTCAAATTTTTTTCTAAGTCCTACGTCGGAAAATTTTTTGAGAGTACTGAGTAGTTCTGAGTAGCGTTTCTTATAGTTCTCGACGAGTTCTATCGAAAACTGTAAGGTGAAAAAGCGATTGGACCAACGGTTTGCAAGATACAGCGACATTTGTCAAAAGATCAACAAATTTTTAGAGTATATCTCAGAAACCGTTGGTCCAATCGCTTTGAACTCTGATACTTTTCGACAGAATTCGCCGAAAACTGTCCAGAACTCCAATCAGAACTACTCAGTACTCTCAAAAAAATTTTCAAAGATTTCCACTATTTTTTTTAAACTTTATTATATTTCAAAAATGTTTTTTATGTATCAAAAACTCTAAGTATTCACAAAATAGTTCTGTTAAGCTGATCAGAACTATGCGACCTTGAATTTCGTTAAAAAGTTAGCACCCCATTTTAAAAAATTATTAAAAAATGATTATTAAGCGCATATGTCATTAAAAATCATAGAGAACTCTTCGTACCGTCAAAAAGAAGCAGGAATTATCATCAGAACTATTGTATCTAAAAATTAATTTTTCAAAAATTTTTAATTTTTTTTTTATTATTCAAAAATTTTTTTTACATATCAGGAACTCTAGGCAATCGCAAATTGAAGCTATTAAGCCGCTCAGAACTATTCCATCTCAAAATTCGATAAAAAGTTAGCACCTCATTTTTAAAAACTGTAAAAAAAATGTTTATTCAGCGGAACTCTTGTTATTAACTATAGGGAACTCTAATCAGAACTCCTGAGTACTATAGTTGGGGTGCTAACTTAACATACCCGTAAAATTCGCGTAAATATAATTGTCTAACTAAAATTTTTTTCCATAATATTTTTTTCTCCTATACTTACATTTAGCACATTTAAAATAATATTGAATTTCTCAAGAGTTAAAATTCTTGTTCGAATAAATTTTAATTGTATGCAATTGTCGGTTCTTAAATAATTTATTTAAACCTCGATTAACTGCACTGGAAAGACATCGAGAACACACTAATTCGGTGGATGTAACCCGAAAGAGTTACAGGCGACTTTTAACGATCTTTATCATTTCGTACGCTACTGTTAATACTATTACAGCTATAGGAAAACCTATATAAGATGATTACGACGAGGGCACGTCTAACTACACTGTGACACCGTATAAGAGATTAGTTACATCACAAAACCGCTTACTAGTCCCACGTTTACGTCGGTACCATAAATCCATTTAATTATTCTCTTTCGATGGGACTGTGTTTAAACGCGGTGTCTCGTGCGCTACAGAATGCCATGGCTGAGGACAAGAAAAAAAGCGTAGGTTATCTGTAGAGAGTATACATATACCGTTATGCACCGATCGTATCGTTGCACTTTCGCGATTATGCAATATTTGCCGAGGAGCAGAATATTTTGACTTACGATCTCTGTACTCTAAAGACGAGGCACTCTAAAGGCATTCTCATTTTAAATCTCCTTTTACGATCACAAAAAACCGCGACAAATATATGTACGCATCATTCATTCAATTAGTTACGAGTTTCTTGAGGAGTAAAAAACTATATAAAAATTAATATCAACGTATGTGTACGTTTTAAAAATATTATAATCATTAGTGTAAGTAATACATCTTCGATGTGTTACAATTTATTCGTGTAAAAATACTTTATTTTATTTCTTTTATAAATATATAGCTTTCTATAGTTTTGAACGTACATTTTTTAAGATGCATTTCGCACTAATCCATAAAAAAGCTAAAAGTTGTATCTCGTGTCTTCGTCAATGTGCACGAACTAAAATAGCTGGTCGTGTTTCCGCGAATCCTAATTGCCAATGAAACGACAACGAAAACGTGCGCTTTTATAACTCACCCAATTATCATGGACTCGCGAAACTCATCTTCGCTGCGTGACTTTTGTCTGTTTCAGAAGTAACAAGTACCTGCAAAAATCGTCCATCAGCCGCGTGTGCGCCGTCGGAGGTTTTTTCATTAGTATTCCCGTCTTCTTAACTGGTAAGGAAAAAATGCTTGTTATCTTTTATCAAACTATACACGATTCGCGTGATCCTGAGAAGAAAAGTTACCGTACAGAGACTTGCAATAAGAATAATTCGAACTCTTGAAACTTTGAAAAAGTTACTCGATTATCTACTTATATCGTATATCGTTATTGTCATCGTAATGTCACGATATTAATTCTGAGATTCGTTGTGATTTACAGGTATGATCTTATACACGTTCATCCAGTTCCATTCGACACCGGCGATTGTCACGTCGGTCTTCATCGGCCTCGGTATTGTGTTCTGCGGATGCGCTATGGTGCACAACGTCTTCGTATGGCAGAAAGTGAGTGCGCCTAAAAGTGCATTTTTTTTTTTACCCTTCCACTCCCTGCTTTCTCCTCTCCTCGTCCAGCGGTCTAACGGCGTGCGAATTTTTTCCCTCATCACGATACGCGGATCTCTGTCGTATAGTCAGTTCGCCTCTTTATTTTCTCATATTCCACAACCGGCGATGCACCGGTCTGCATCTCTTTCTCTCTTCTCCTTTTTCCCCTCTCCGCCGGTTCTATGCCCGTAATCTCTCTCCGCCGCACCTTATTAGCATATTCCGCAACGGTCGATGTCATTATCACGCTATTATTTATGTCGGTGATCATTCTACCGTGTAATTCGATTCCAAACTGGATCTGGTACGCAGGATGTGCGTATGTGTATGCGTGTATGCGCTAAGCGGACAGTGGGTGCGAACGGACGTGTCCACCCTGCCGAGTTTTTGCCCTGTGAAAAAGAACCTGCGAAAAGATGGCAATATAACTGCCTAATGTACATGCGATTCTGGGACGATACTTCGATTCGCATTACGTAATTGCGTGATTAAGTGGAAGATTTTGTATAACTGCGATCGTTGCGGTTCTCCGTATAGCATCTCTCCGCGATAAACTTTCCTGACACTTTGCCGCTACGTAAATTACACGACGGAGAGGATTCTCTATTTTACTGTTTCTTCTATTTGCGATGCTTTCAGTATTACGACGACACATTTTTTCTAATAAACTTGTCTATTTTTTAACGTGTCATTAAAGTACTAAGATCTCGTGTTGATAAGTATATGGTATATACTTATTCCAAATCGTATCCTTTTTAATTCCCCTTTCTTTATTCAAATAAAAATTATTGGAAAAAAAAACAAACAAATAGAATTTTACAGAATAATTTTTCTTTTTGTATAACTCGCAGGAGAAGACGAATGCTGTAAAAGCGTTTGCCCGCGAGCAATGCGAGGTTGCGGCACAGCTACAGCGTCAACAGCAGCAGTTGCAACTGCATCAGCAGCAGCCGCATCAGCAGGTACACTCGCAGCATCAACAGCAACAGCAGCATCACCATCATCACCATCAGCAGCTGCAACTACGGCCGACGCTGCATACGGGTTCGAAGCTTGGTAGCGGAAGTGGCGGCCCAATGGGCCATTCGACCGTCAGCCTGGCCCAACTTAGTCGCGGCCTTCATCATTCTTATCAGCATCATCCTCATCAGCATCATTCTCATCAGCAACGGCACGTGTCCTCCATGTCGCCACCATTATTACTGTCATCGCCGCATGCCGCATCACAGCATAACCATCTGACGTATCGTGGTGGTATCGCCGCCGCCGCTGCCGCTGCCGCTGTCGCCATCACCGCCACACCATCAACGACACCCGGCGATCGGTCGCCGCCGAGTCCCAACGGTGGTGGCGGCGGCAGCGGCAAGCTCAACAGGTCGCAGCACTTGCCACGTGAAACCAGCGGCAGCGTGAGCCCCGGTCTGCCGGCGGCTACGCTCGACCTGAGTAGTGCCGCTACTACCAACAGTCCGCACGAATTGTCGACTCTTGTTTAAAGACCTTGAAGGAGTAATGGAAGAATAAGAATTCAGAACTTTCAGAATTTAGAATTTATTTGGAGACGTATTCTCTGAGACTAGTAGAAAAGATTATCTCTCGGATCATCTTAAGTCGATTTATATAAGGAATAAATATAAAATTATTTATAAACAAATTTGTCAACAGATATTGTCTAAAGAGAAGGGACCAAAAATTGTTAAGGCTGCTGATTATCTCATGTTGCGTGTTGTAACATTATCGATATGTTTTCACGTACGTTATTAATGTTATTGTCATCACTGCGACATCGTCATTTAGTATTTACCTTTTTTTTTATACAAAATTCTTAGATATTGACAAAGGCCGATAAGAAGTTATCCACCAGAATATTTTGCTTTGATAACAACGAATTTTCGTGAATGTTTTGTTTACCCCATGTTTGCAAATTCTTGGTGAACAACTATTTAAAAGAAACACTGTCCAGAGTTTTGTTAAACAATTTATTCCAAATTAAGAGAATAACAAGAAATATCTTAAATATATAGAATTATCTTTCTTGATTTTGATGAACTTTAAACATTGTTTTTTTTTTAACAAAAATAATGAACATGTATTTTTTTTATAAGGATTATCACTTGCACTTTTAGGCGGTGCAACTCTGAAAAAAATCGGTCTTTTCTTTCGAAGCGAATATTGTCAAAATTATAAAAAACATGATATGAGATAAAAAAACATGTTCCAAATAAAAGTTGAAATCTCAAAAATACTTTCTAATAATAATTAAAAAATAATTAAAACAACAGGGCTACGAGCCAACTGTTGTTTTAATTATTTTTTAAATTTATTGAGCCTTGTTATTAACATATATTAATAATTAAAAAATTTATTTATAAATAAAAAGTGTTTATTTATAAAAAATTAAAATTAAAAATTTTTTTAATTACAATATTAAATATTTTTTTAATTATTCAATTTTTATTTTAAACTTTTTTTCTATCGCTTATTTTTTTTGGAAGAACAATAATTTTTTTTTTTCAAAGGAGTGTTGCACTTTCTAAAAGTGTGATAGGGCTCATGTAAAAAAAAAAGTTATTTTTGTTTAGAAAGCAATATATTTGAAGCTCATCAAAATTGGAGAAAGATACTTCCATGAATTTCCTTGTAAGAAAATAGTTTAGTGAACAACTAAATTTCCACAATTTAAAAGAGCCTATCCTGCAGTAATACATTTAAAAAAAAATTATTTTTACCATCTGATGTTATTTAATATAACTTAACAATAGAGATTATTTAACAACTATTACTATAGAAGCTATACAGGATGATGAAAAATAATGTTTTAATTACTTTTACGATCAATTTAAATGTGATATTTTAAGAATATTAAATAGTTCTATCAGAATTTATCGAACAAAATTTTATCAGTGCCTTTGTTTGTCTAGTCTCCGTATTATTCCAACATAATTATTAGCGGCTTTGGAATTTATATTTTCAATACCACTGACCATGTTTATGACCTGGTTTATTAAACCAGTATTACTCGAGTCACAAGATTTTTTTGTTTTTCTCCCGTCGAGTTTTCTTAGTCCCTACAGTCAATCCGAACTGTCTTGATCCTGCTAGTATTGTAGCTAACATGATTTAATGACTGGTCGATAGCGTTAGTTCTTGTTGGCCTTGATAAGCTACATATTTTTTGCATATCGTTATACCAATTACAATTTTCTCAGACAGGTTTCGCTTCATTTTTTTTTACCAATGCGTTCGGGGTAACCCATACAAAATATACATTTATTGTACATAATGTATGTTCTTGAAGGAATTTCTTGCCACGTCGAGATGCAATGCGAGAATCATTTCGATTCCTCCAACGAAACTTGCCGATTTATGCTTTATTTACGACTGATATATCCTGTTATCACCAAGAACAGCAACAACAGGTTCCTGTTGCGCAACGCCGACAAAAAAAGGATTCCTCGAATGCGTGTTGCATTTCGCTTCGTAAGTATTCTTCGGTTATCTGATATCAAGACATTCTCGGAATATTGAGTTATCAAAAAGTTTATGCAAATTTCGATGTCAAGAATAAAATATTAATAATTTTTTACAGACTTTTTTAATTACAAAAAATATATATATTTAAGATATATAATTATTTTTTATATTAGATATAACTTACCAAAACTGCGTAGAATTATATCTTTATGCTTGCCGAGAATTCCAATTACCTACAACTACGCGCGATTATTGAAATGTATTTTAACAGTAGAATATATATAACAATGTGCATACTTCGAAGCCTCAGAGATCCCAACAAAATGAGAAATTGGCACAAATGTGAATCTTGCCATGTCTTCACTTATTACTATTATTTGTACTTATCTTGCAGAATCTCTAGTCCTAGATTATTTTCGTTCACATGTATGTATATGAAAATATAAGATTTTAGAATTCCGGTTATTGTATAATTGCGCAGCTGATTGAGACGTATAATTGATAAGATGCTTGAAATTTGTAAACTTGACACACTGATGAAATCAGGTTTATATTTTCTTAACAATATTTAGTATACAGTGTAAATATCGTTTAACCATAGATTAGTTAATCGCAAATTTAATTGTTCATTATTTATCCGCTTGCACGTTAATTAATCCATTAACGTTTAGACTGCCGGCATTTTTTCATTAAAAATGGTTCTTTTTTCTCAAAAATGTTTCTGTATAAGTAACATACACATGACACAAAATTTCGAGATTTTTGCGAAGCCACAAAAGTTGCTTTCCCGACAGTCTAAAGGTTAATTAAAAAAGTTGGACGAGTTCTTCAAATTTCAAGACAATGAATGTGTGTTGTATAATTTATAAATTAAATACATAATTTTATTCCCTTTATACATCAGTGTTTTTTAATATTTAAAGGTATCAAGTTATGAAGTCTCTATGGGTTTATATTTAAGTGTATTTAGAATTAGATTTATAATTTTATATCGTTACTGCATGGTTACATAAAAAATTCATGTAAACACATATTAAAAGAGATTGTAGCTTCAGTACTTAAAAATAATTATAAAATACCCACAACATAAAATATAATAATTTATTTTTATCGCGCGTCTCTTCTTTAAAAACATCGAAATATAATTGTAAACTTTCGCATTAATTAAATTAAAAAATGATGGCTTGATATCATTTCATATAATTTATCAATATTAAACATCTTCTTGAACATAAAAAAATGTATGATTATATTTTTCAAGATATTTATATAACAGTTTTAATGAATGTAAAAGCTATCTTGCTTTTATCTTTTTGTATTAATGTCCATATCCTTACTATATATATATATATGCCATTGGTGCTATTTAAAATATTTGAAATCTAACTTCTAATACAATTGAAAAAAAAAAGAAAGCATAAAGAATTTATGTTGTTTATGGTGTGTTGCACGAGACATATAATACTGATTACAAACCATGTGGTAACGACTTACGTAAAAAAAACTCGATAATCTATGAGTATGACATAACATATCTTACGTTATATTACGGTAAAAGATCCATATTAGGGAGTTTTTGCAATATCGTTTATTCCAGATACGGTGAACGCTAAAGTCACTTTTTCTTCACATCTAATTAAGAAAAGGATAACGTGACTTTAGCGTTCACCGTATCTGGGATAAACGGTATTGCAAAAACTCCCTATTCGCAAAAATTACGTATTTTATTAAAATAAATACCATATGTATTTTGTTTTGTATAATCAGAATACACAAATATACGGAATTCATCTTTTGATATCGTGAATACACTAAAGCATTACAGACAAGATAATTTTTAGAATTATCTAACATAAAAACGTTAAAACTAATTTTTTTCTTTAATCTATTTTTTAACTAAGGGAATTTTGCATCCATAAACGTAAAAACTGATATCAAAAGTGAATTTTTATTAGAGCAGAATAAAAAATGCGCGAAACTGTATTTGCAAATTTAGTTATGGCTTTATCAAATCTAAAAATGATTAAAAATTTTTTATTAACTGTCATATTATGTTATTTAAATTTTTTATTTTTATGTCATTTTATATATTTAATTTCAAATAATTATGAAATCAATTTTTTAAATGAATATATCGATATTCATGACTTGTTGTCTACTGTCTAGCTCTATCAATTGAATTAGAAATTTGAAACGAGAATCTTAACGAACTTTGATTATTAGAACATTTAAGTAAACCGAAAAACAACTCGGTTGTATATGTATATATAACGCAAGAATATGTACAATACATTCTAGAAATCGGTGATGTAATTTAAATGGGCAGGGTAAGAAGTTGAAAATAATGTAAATTATACAGTAACGTATATGTAAACACTTCACTACGTTTGTAAGTAGTATAGTAATAAGTACATTTGGAAGTAGTGAAGCATGTAACTTAATTATGTAAGTTATTTGTTGGATTCATATATAACGCACATAGTACAAAAAGTGTTTTAGCTTTGTGTACTGATAATTATAACAACAGTAGATGTATTTGATATGTAATTAATTAAAAAAGAAAAAATAAATTATTCTGGATATGCGAATCAAGTTGTGTATATATATTATTTCAATTATAATGTAGATATGATTTAAATTTTTTCAAATATTTTTCAATCGATATTTCATTGTTATTGTTAAATTTCATTAATTTTAGATAGTAGATTAATATTCCCTGTATATAAAGTTCATCAATATACACATGTACATATTTTTTATCTCAGTGATTTGTAAAAGTAAATATGTTTTGATTAGGTTGTATGATAATTAACTACGAGAATAATTGAAATTACTTGCAAAACTCGTCTTTTTGATCTCTTTCTTAATTAAAATATGTTGTATATTTATTTGATCTCAATATATCATTATATGTATAATAAAAATGAAGATAAAGCAAACTTAATAATCATTTTTGTAAGTAAAGTTTGATGAAAACATTTGAGTTTAAAACTTACAATCGATTTCTAGATTATAAGTGGAACAGAAAAATAAAAGTTTATTTTTAAAAGTGATAAATAAAAAATTTATTTTTTTCGTCATTAATATTGTAATAGTTCAAGTAAAAACATTTTTCTTTACGAAATATTGTCAACATTATACAATATATATATTTATATAATAGTATATACAATTATTTAAAAAATATTGCACAAAGAATTTATCTTTACAATATTTTGAAGTCTTTACAATATTTAGATCTCAATACAATTTTTAATCTGCACTGTTAAAAATATCACAAAATGTAATGTACTTGTAATTGAAAAGTATAGGTATGTATTTATGTACACTTAACGAAAGCTTATGATTATGAGATGACTGAAAAGTAATGATTGGTTTAACTGAAAACTAAGTTACAGTAGTAATCTTAAATGTAAGAGGTTTTCCACAATAAACTGTACAAAATTTAATGTATTTTTTAAAAAATTTTATGAAAAATGTACTATCCATAAATTTATGTAAAAATATTTCATTAAAATTTTATGTAAATTTGCATGAAATTTAATGTGCACATTTATTGCGAACTTTTTATATAAATAAATTTTATAATAAAAAAATTTTATGAAAAATGTACTATCCATAAATTTATGTAAAAATATTTCATTAAAATTTTATGTAAATTTGCATGAAATTTAATGTGCACATTTATTGCGAACTTTTTATAATAAATCAATACTTAAGCTTAAATCTTAAGAAATGGATCTCCCCGCAATCATGGTCAATTATTTTGCTCACATTCAATTGATCCATTTCTTACTAAGAACTTAAATTTTATAGGTAAGAAAGCTAACTTATATTTATTACTTTTCAGTCAGCTCATAATCATAAGCTCCGTTAAGCCGTAATCAAACTACAGATTCCCGACTCCTGACTCAGAGTTGATCGAATAAAATGATTTCTATGCTCGAGTCGACAGTCAGAGTCGGCTGCTGCCTTGCTGTGATTGGTTGAAGTATAGTCGGGAGTCCGAGTCAGTAGTCGAGTCAGGAGCCTGTAGTGTGATTACAGCTTTACAGGTGTTATTTAAATTTATAACAAAATTTCTAACAGTGAGAATATAATTTTTTGCCTATTATGTACATAACACATGCATTATATTGGAAAGAATGATCAGATTGAATTTCACTAAAAGAACCGATATAAAACTCCTAAAATTATCTAAACGCCTTTAACACAATTTAATCCTAGACATTATTATGTTTGTCTTGCATCATTAATGATAGCTGGTACTCTTACTTCAATACCGTCCTGTTCTTCAGTCACGATTACTTGGCAGCCTAATCTTGAACTATAATTAAACACACATATTTAAAACAGTGACGGATAAGAAAATATATAAATTAAAAGGTTGAGTATATGCCACACACTATAATTCTTATTAGTGAAAATTAATATATATATTATCATAAGTGATTATAATTTAATTCGTTTTAAGAAAATATACAACCGGATGATAAATAATAAATAAAAAAATTTGCTGCAAGCTTAAAAAACATAAAAAACATGGGAAAGTATAATGGAAATAGAAAAGAGACTGAGACAATTAATTTGAATAACAGATCAAACGATGTTTGACTGATAAGCTTCTACTTAAGGCAAATTTTATTCAAAATCATCCCTTAGGAAAATAAGAAACTAATTCATGAATAAATGTAAGAGACATTACAAAGTGAGATTTAGAGAATGTTTCTCTCTCTCTCTCTCGTACATGCACGTTAGCTCCTATAGATCTTTTATTAGCATATGTATAAAACTTTTCTCAAGAAAGAAAGAAAGGGTATAAATCCAATAAACATACGTTGGTCCTCGCTCTTGTGCCAAATCCAGCATATCGATTTCTTCCTCTGTAGGTTGATCAGAAAGATTTTTAAACGCATCCTTAGAAAAAACTAAATGACAAGTGCTGCACGTTAGTGTTCCTTCACAAGCTCCTATATTCAAGATAATGAAAATACATGCCTCATCAAACATGTGAATGATTATTAAGGATAAACAGGTTTTTCTAAAAGGTTCATACCATAACCATCCAAATCAAGATCATTGTTTACAACAATATCTAAAATACTGTTTCCAATTTCCCCTTTTGCTTTTATCCTTTCTCCATTGGCTTTAATAAATGTTATAGTGATCCTGAATAAAATATGTACAATATTTATTTTTGATATTTTGTCTTAATCGCTTTACTGACAAGAATTTCATTTTACTTAAATACATTCACAAATTAATCATTCTTGTCAATATAAATTTTAATTAATTATTCACATATATTGCTAAAATTAAAATATAATTTTTATATAGAAATTTATAATTTTGTTCAATTAAACATATATTATCTAAAAAATATCTCGTGTTATTAAAGATGTTTTTTCCTAGTGGCTTTTACATGGCGTTTCTTGAGACTTTCAAAATAAAAAAGTTGTTAATAACATTTAACAATACTAATCTTACTAATTACCTTCACACTACAATGTGTCAAGTAGAAAGCGACTAAGAACTTTAAACACTTTGATCAAACTCCGATTATCGACAGTTAATTTGCTAAGTGGTCAACTTAGTGTTCTAAACATTCTAAACATTCATGAACACAATTATCGCTGTTATTTAAAACGTAAAGAGAAATTGAGAGAATGAATTGTATAAATTAATTGTAACAAACTTATACAACCGAACTGAGCGCCAATTAAATTAATCCGAGCTTGGTCAAAGTTATTTAAAAGTTCCAAACGCTCCTGACTGAGAGATTTTATTTCAACCTTTTTACTTACTCTTTATTCTTAGAAAGCGGTTGCATGAGAGACACAGTTCTCGCGGGGATAACTTGACTAGATATGTATGAGTATGCATAATTCGTTCCTAAGACAGAAAACGATCTTAATCCCCGCATCAGTGCCATTATCCAATGTCAAGCATCAAATCGTTCGTACGGTACACGAGTGTTTTATTGAGGAAATTATTGCTCGAAAATGAAGTTTGAGAGAACCACGTTGGAACCTCGGATCGTAATACGTCTGCGCAAACCGACAATCCGTCTGTTTTAATAAACACTGCGCGATAAGAGCTGGCTTCACCACCAAAATGACGAATTTTAACGAAACACGACGTGTCAATCTTGGCCCTTGTACACTATTCGACCCAAGGCGATAATTCAATGTGAATTCTCTAACGACTGTTGACAACGACTTGCCACAACTGATCCATCGGACCCATGTGCCTGCTAACCATACCAAGCATTGGAAAGCAAAAATTCTCCGAACTGATTGTACGCGCATGCGTGGGTTACCGGCTACATCATTACATATGTAATCGGTTTCACAATACCTATCGAAGTGCTACGTAAGCATTTCGGTTTTCTCTTTCTCAATGCTCATGATAAATTTATTAAATTCTTAAAACTATTTTACTATGACTTATGTTAGTATAAAATAAATGTAAATAGGATAAATCACATAAAATGTTAATGACCTAATATTTTAGGAATCACAAATTAAATAAAAAAAATACAGATTTTGTTTTCCGTTAGATGATATTAAAATTTCAAATGCTCTGCATTGAAAATAACTTTTATTTAAAACACTTCTCTCCTAAAATCATCGAAGTTGAGTCATGAAAACTAGAAGTTGACTGAATTTTAGGAATATAAGAACTAAATGTTCCCAAAATTATCTTATTAAAAAATCGAAAAGATATTTTTATCATCCAAACGTAAAATTTCATTGTATGTATGACAATACAGATGGAATGATTACTGGAATGAAAGCTCACGCTTGTTAACTTGATCATTAGAGAGATGTAAAAACTATTTTGATTTTTATAACTTCGTAATTAGAAAGAGTGTAAGGTCACGTAATTTTAAAAGAGGACGAGAATTTTAGATATGTTCTTTTTTATTATATAACACAAGTATGAAAAAATGCACAATCGTGACATTGCGTCAAACATTAGGAAATCTTATCACTAAAAATCGTTAGAACAACTGTTCAGATAGGGATAGAAACCTACAGTAGAAAGACTGTACAATAATGAGTATCTGACTTTTTATTTATTTGCAAATAAAGTACAGTTACACTGTTAATTGTATTAATTACAGTCAAAAAATGTTTCTTAAATACAAAAAAATTGTTTACATTAGGTTGAATGAGAAAATTATATTTTAGATATTATATTAGAAAGCATATTATACACTCTAACAATTTTCATCAATAAATCTAAAATAATCGATAGTAAGTCACACATATGAAATTACGATTTAATTTAGAAATTGGTAATTAATAATTCTAGAGAGTGCAGAATTTACTATGTGATCGACAATCTATATTTAATTGTGCTTACATGAGATACACACTGATCAGTCGCTTTCCTCCAAGCTAATAACTGAAAATTGAAATTTATATACTTAATTATTCACGTATGTATATATATATATATATATATGTGTGTATATATATATATATAATGTTTGGACAATGTTACTGACAGCCCCTCGGCAACATATGCGATATCAATGATAGGTACAGTATTTATGTGTATGTATATATATTTATATTAAAATTACATAAATTGAAAATTGCAGGATTTAGGTATATTATAATTAATACATATTCTCAACTGAAGAAGATACAATACAAACGTAAGAATGAAACATGTAATAATGATTAAATATTTCGCATATTATACACAGAAATTGTTTCTGTTGAATTAAGAAAAATATATATCCATATATATCTCGAGAAAATTTATATTTGCATGATCTATAATACCAGATTTAGAACGAGATTTAGGAAAAAGTAAAACGAACATAACAGAAAATTGATCAAATGAATGAAAAATGTGTTTAGCAAAAGACAATTTCTGACGATAATATTAAGCTCGACAACTATCTTCTCGATTTTAATTTTTTACATCTTTAATTTTGTTATTACCGCTTTTATCTTCGAGGACCTCACTCTTCTCAGTTTCTTTTTCTTTTCCGGGTTGTTTCTTGTCCGAATTACGAAAACGATCGTAACGCGAATCTTCGTCATCGCTCGATTTTGAAGCTCCCGCCTCGCTCTCTCTTAGAATGTCGCCTAAATCCTTGTCGACATCATCCCAAATCATTTTATCACTACCGTGCGCGCGGTAGTCGTCGTCATCTTCATCCCCCTGATTATTCTTACTGTCTTTCGCGTTCTTTTCAGATTCTACGCTACTAGATTTTTCTTCTTCAATTTTAATATATTCTGTGCCGCAAACGCCGTTATTATCAGCCGCAGTAGATACAGGTGTAGCAGATACTTGTGGCTCGGAATTGACAGGAGAAGTCTTTGCATTATCCGATGTATTATTAGTCACGGTGGAATTAGTAGAATTCACATTCGTTGAAGATGACGATTGCAGATGTATCCTTTCCGCTTGACGTCTAAGCGCCTTATCATCATTATCTCGCACATACCTGCAATAAATATACGATATTGTAAATAGCACTAATAATATATTGTTTCGATTATCCTGTTGAACATCGATGATATACCGTTTAAGATGACTGCGAGTGGAACAATGTAAAGCGACTGCTCGCTCTGTATTTTCGCTGCGTGGCAGATACACTTTACATAACTCGCAGTATTGTACTTCGACACGTTTTATGTATTCCGCACCAACTTTTATCATCTGTTTGCCTTTCGATTTTTTCTCCGCTTCGCTTGAACTTTCACCCTCGGCCTTTTCTTTCTTCTTGTCGTTAGTCTCTTCGTCTTCTGTAAACAGTAATAGTGTGGCATAAGACAAACGTAATTTGTACTTTGACAAATTAGGAATATTCCGTACATGTTTGTTACGTACCATCTACATCACCTACGGAATCCAAAGTCATAAAATTATCAAGATTAACTTCCTTGTCATCTTCTTCTGGCGCGCTCGAATCTGCCTCTGCTTCACCGCTTCCATTTGCATTCATTCTTTCTCTCAGTATACTCTTTCTCTGATTTATATATATATATATCATATCAAGAAAAACTAATATTATTTATCAAAATATAAGAGTTACCTTGATGTGCTCTAGGGAACACATATGTGTCTCAAAGAACATTGGCGAACGGAATTGGATACGACAAACACGACAGAATGGTGTGAGGAATCGTTTCATTTGACGATGAGATTCAGACAGTTGATGAGCAGCTTTCAAGGAACGGTAATTTAATTTGCAAATAGCACAGAACATGGTGCGAGATGGTAGGGTGCCACGTGCTGCATCACGAGCTTCGATACGTCTCTGCTCTTGCCGTTGAACAACTCGCATACGTGTGAGAGTGACCTTATGTCGAGCCGCAATACGTTTCATCGCAGCACTATGACGTCCAGAGAATAGATGGAGTGAATATTCTTTGAACGTAACGCTGTGATGGGCGCAATGCGGGCATTTCAATTTTATGAACTTTCTACCGTCCCGTCTACTTGGCAATTCTTCGGAATCTGCATTCCTGTCGCGTTCTTCTTTTTCAGTTTCATCACGTTCCTCATCGTCCCCATCTTCATCCTCCTCCTACAAATTCAATAAAATGACAAACCAATAAAATAGTAATAATAATGACAACAATAATGTACTAATTTTAATAGTAATAATAGAACTGACACAACTCACTTCTCGCTTCTGATCGTCATCTTCTTTAATATCATCATCCTTTTCTTCCTCATCTTCGGTATGTTGCCTTTCTCTATCTTGTTTTTCTTTCTTACGCTTATCCTCTTTTTTCTTCTTCTCCTCTTCTTCTTCCATGTCCTCTTCATCGCGTTCATGTGGCTGCACAATGTTGATGGACAATAAATATCAAAATTATTCAAACATGTAAGAAAATGCATATTTTATCATAATATTTAAAAACATCATAATTATTATTAATAAAATATATATTTTATTAAATAAGTGAACTCTCAACGAGTCTATCGTTAAGAATTTAATGATATATGTTCGATCACGTGATTTTAATATGAGCACTAACGATCAAAATTAATTGTAATCATGTAAAATAAATTTTAACAATGTATGTGATAATGCTTGTCTGTAATAACTGTGCTTTGTGATAACTAATTTTATATTATACATATTTGTAAGATCGCGTTACATCAATATATTTAAACCCACAATTACGAACGATAAGCTTGTGTAACGCCACTGTTGAATTACCTTTTCTTCGTCGTCCCAATTACTCTTATTATCATCTTCCTCGTCATCGTCATCGGAAAATTCTGCATTAATGGCTTTGGCCATCTCTCTATCCTTGTCCTTCACGCTGGTCCCGGATCCCGAGTCCTTTTTACTTCCGGGTAGCCTAGTAGTACCGCTACTAATGACACAGCAATTTTGTTTTGACTTATATTATTTTCCAGCATTCCATTTTCGTGCTTCTTTGTCTTTCGTTGTATCATCGAGCAAGACTTGCTTATAGATGATACGTAGAAAATATCGCGATAGTATCGGTTTAATATCTCGGCTTTATATATCCCAAAATGTGAAATGCGTTTCGTATTGTACGCTAAAAGTGTCTATTATTCATTTTTCTTTATTTTTCATCGCGTTCTGATATCTTCGCACACTCTCGGTCGTGCCAAAAAATATGATATGAATAGTGTAGTCGTACCGCTATGAACTCTAAAGAGAATTATGTCTCATGACGAGTTAAGTACAATTATTTTAGCTTTCGTATCGAAAGTTATTACATTGCGTTTATACGTATCATCAGATTTCTTCTTTATTAGAAAAAAGTTCTCTTTCTCTCTGTCGGCAGTGGAATATTTGTTTCATGATTTGTTTGTCTTGACTGTTTATCAATCGATTTACTTAGGCATTTATTCACGCATGTGTATTTTGTCCGTTCGCTTTCATAAATTATCTTGTGACACTCAGGTCATCGACCGAGAGTCGGTTTGCATGAACCGACTTCAAAGAAGAATATTCAAGCAGGCTACGAAGATAATATTTGCGTACGATTTTTTGGTAAGTGACTGTATTAATAAATTACCTCCTGCGTAGTTTAGTAGTAGTCATGCGCACACGCTGGATGTAGTCTCGCGAGCGTGAGCCTAGCAGCTTTCGACGATAGTCAAGCGAGTGCAGAGTACGCTTGCGAGCCATGAGGATGTCCGATCGAGAGCTCACACGATGAAATGCAGCACCTCTACCACCGGTGCCGCGGGTCGAAATGCGACCTCTGTAATTCGAACTCTGATGCGATATTCTTCCTCGACTCGAGGTGTATCTCTGAGTCGGTGGCGGTGCCATTTCGCTAATCCGAGGGGGTGGCGGAGGTGCATAGCTCCGTGAAGCGGAATGACGGTCCTCGGAACGGTGGTACGATGACGCGCGTTCGCTCTGTCTCTTGTCCTCGTATACGTTGGACGATGACGATCCCTTGTTATCGTCATAAGCCGCCGATGTGGACGAACCGTACGACGAATACCTCTGTGAGCCGCTACCGCTACCTCCACCCTGCCAAATCAAATTTAATTGTGCTCCTTCCATGCATTTCTTTCTTTTATTTCGTCTCCCATCCTTTTTCTCTTATATAGTTTATTCTACGCACAAATGTATATTTACATACAAGTATACACGTATGTGTGCTTATATGCATACATATCCTTTTTCTCCCTTTCTACACGCACGTACATATCTACCTCTTAATTGCTACTGTTCAACTGGTCTAATCGACTGACTAACCGACTGACATCGAGTGATGGATTGATCGAGTGATCGACTGACTAAACGGCTAAATGACTAACTCCTCAATCGACCGAATAAAAAACTGATTGATCGATTAATAGCATAATGTCGGCACAGTAATTTTAACTGATGTTTCTATTTTCAGTTTTCAAACCCATTTGCATTTCATCATTCGATTATCACGTACATGCAGTGCTAATCGTCTATTGTTTAAAATGGTTCAGCGTCATGAACGTCATATATGGGATTAATAATTGTAATTTATTACTCTATGCTCATTGTATCGCACCTAGATATATAATTTGATTTTCCCTAAATAATTAAGAATCCCTAAATGTCCTTTTATTGCCTTATTATAAAAATGTACTCTCTAATCTCATTGGTATTTGCAATCTCGGGAGTAGTAGCAGCGCTCGTTTCTCTCGAGCTAACAAATTCTATCTTGCCATTCAACGATGTATGTATATATAATACGTATAATGCTCTCGACAGACCTTTCCAACTTAGTCGAATTATATATCTGTCATTAGACGTGATGGTCAAATCTTTCACGAAGATGAATCGAATAAAAGTAACAAAATTGTCGTTATGTACGTAATCATTTGTAAATATTTGTGCGTATAGTTGCGTTTGGTAATAAGATAGTTTGAACAATATTATATATACATATATACATTTGTATATCCATATTTTGCTCTCTGCCCTACATGTAGCATGCATGCCAAGTATTTCCCTAGTATCATTCTGTAGGGATATATATATATATGCATACATTCGACATTAATTCTTTCCCAATTCCCTTTTTGTCATGCATAAGGTAGATAACATGTCCGAATATATAACAATTGGAAAGGCCTACGACATATAAATATTAATCAAAATTTTTGCTCTTGTAATTTAGCATTTGTAATATAATTTAAATAATTGGTTATAAACGATGTTTATGGGTGACATTTCATGAAAATCCCATGTCATAAGGCGATGCCTGAGAAGATGTTGTTATTTCTCTACAATGTCTCTATACTCTTTATTCTCGTTACTGCATAATAAATCGGCATAATTGCGCTTATTGTTCTCTAACGGGGAATAACATGATGTAATTCTCACGTACGTCTATTCATTCAATTTGTCATCGACTTTTCAAATAGCTCTCAAACTTTACTAGGATATGTGCGGACAGCGGGCAATATCATATAAATACCATCTAGGTATATTTCATCTTTTAACGATTCATCTTTTAATAATTTGACGTTTTTGTAGCGTTCCACTGCAGTAGCGCCCCAACGCAAAAAGAACGAGTGTTCGAGAAGCCGTTGGTTCGCGTTGCTTGAAAGGAAAGTAGGATAACTTATGAATGTTCTGTTTAAAATATACCAATTTTTCTTATATACGAGTGTCCTGAAATCATTTAACATTCCTTTGTGTAACTCATTTTTTTTATACGTTACACTTTAACCGATAAGAGTAACAAACTTTCAGGACCATCGTTACATTACATAAGACAAAAATAATATTTGAATCTTCTATTGAAAGAAATATTTCATATTAAATTTTTCATAAAAATTCAAGTTGGGAAATATTCATATATAATCATATAGAGCAATATATATTGATGTTGTATTACACTTTTCTTTTAACCCCTTCAGACCAGATTTTAGTGGAACCATAATAAAAAAATTTTTTTAATTTAGTTCATGCATATTTAAATAAATAGTTCATGCTAAACAATTGTTTTTCATATTTTTCCAACATATACTTATGTGTACATTATTACTATGTAGCAGATTCCGAATAATGTCTAAAGAATTAAATAATTTCAAAGGATGTTTTTAAATTCGATTATATAATTACGCTAAGTCTGAAGAGGTAAAATAATTAATCATCTTATGAGAAAGAGAAACAGATAAAGATTGCAAAGAGAGCAAAGAGAAGATACATACCTGATAAGAATCACTTCTCATTCTTTTACGAGTTGAGTCACTTGATGATCGATGGTCATCTCTAGCAGAATAAGAATCCTGAAGAAAAAAAAACCATTTTAATATTCTGAATTTGTCACAAAAACGTTTCTGATAGTTTAATAAATAGAAATATAATCCCAATTTATATTCTTACACGAGGCCTTTTATAGCTATTCGAATGTTCGCCACGACCGCCTCTGCTTGAATATCTTTCCGATCCTGTAAAGACAATAATGATCAACAATATTATAATATTATTCCTTTACTTTACATAGAGAGATATCTAGTATATGAGTTATGATGTTGTAAAGTTTCATAATTTCCAATTTAGGCTTCTATTTTATGTTTTAAGACTATGATCCACTTGATGCTTTGAAGAATTTTTTGATTAATTAGTAAAATTTTTTCATCAAATGGACTGCATCCTAAAAAATAGATTTCATTGTTTTGGTCAATTAAACATTTTAAAGCATTCGCAGTGTCAAATGAAACAGCCTCAACTTAGTGTATACTTATAAGTATATCTCTAATACTTTTATAGAGATTAAAATTGAAATTGAATTTAATTAATCAAAAGAAATATCGAATTTTTAATGAAATTTACATTGATTGATCAAATTTAATCTCTAGTCCAATACAAACATAATCATTTTTATAACACATGTTACTATTAAATATCTAATATTCATATATTACCTGAGTTATATTTGGATCTAGAATCATAATTCGTTGTTGAATATTTAAATCTGCCACCTCTGGAAGATGAGTATCCTCCTCTACCAGATACATTTCCTCCTGCTGAACCATTCCACTCATTTCCTCCACCTCGTCCCCTATAAGAACCTCCGCGAGAACTAAATCCGCGACCACGAGAACTCATGGTGGAACTAAAAGAAATCGAGACACATTTCTCGTTACACTTATATTAAATTTATCCTTTTGCCATGTTTTATATCTTGACATATGTTCTTGCGTCTTAATAAAAAGAAATTAAGATTCTTTTCCGACTATAGCTGAGCAAAGTCTCATAAAAATGTAAATATAAAATTGTAAAAATACGGAGTAGGTAAAAACAGATATTAAAATCGCTCAAAATACAAGATGTTCCAATAAAGTGCCACCAAAATAAAGTATTTATCGATCTTTCTGACGAAACGCAAATCCCCGCAGCATAATTAAACGTACATTACCAACCTGTATTTGTTGTAACCATAGCTCATGGCTGCAACTTATCGTTGAACAAGATAGAGTAAAGAGAAAGGGGCTGTAGTGGATACAACGCCAATGGTCTATGAACAAAATAAATTTTTTTTTTGTACAACGCATGTGGCACAAGTTCGTAGGAAATATACAATTAATAGCCTCTTTACGATTTCAAGTCGTTCTAATCAATAATCACGTATTTGGGAACCACGTTGACGAATGACGCAATTTCGCATAAAAATTCGCGAAGGAGACTGACTTTCAACGAGAGAGAAAAAAAATACGAGGGTAAAATCGAGAAAAATTTCGTGATTATAATCGGCATCCATTGTTCACGTTGGTGAAATCCCGATACCACAGCCACAGATGCGCCGAGCAACGTGATATGGTGCGCCACGAAGCGGCAAAGGACATCCGTGCCTTTCGTTACGCGGACAGGACGATATATTTGTCGTGAAAACTATGAGCCGATAAAAGGATCAATAATATCGTATTTACGCGACTAAAAAGGCGATGGCCACATTTCGGTATCCCATTTTACGCGTAACGAACGCAATATAGGAAACTCACCCGAAACGGTGGGACGTGGGAGTCGCAGCAGCCTTCGTCACAGTCTCCGTTGCGATTAGAACGCCAGAGGGAACAAACTCCATATATTTTGGGGGCGACGGAAGTTGGTGTAGTTCCAATTTTGGTGTCACAGAGAGCCAGGTGGCGCTAGGGAGTCTGTCGCCCCTTCTTCCAAGATAGGAGTTTGTTCCCCCTGTAGAACGCGTCTACAATCGATTTTATGATTCGCTCATGCGTATGTATGTATGTATGCGGCTTGCTTAAGTTTACGCGCCGTTCAAGTACACCTCGATCGACGATACAAACCTTTTCCGAAAAAATCACGCAAGGCGTCGAGGCCGGAGCAAATCGGACAGTCATTCACCAAGCAACAACGAACTAAAATGTCGGCCACACTTGTTCTTGAAACAGGCGTCCCTGCCACGAATAACGAAGGACATGCGTGGACATGCGTCATTTTCGACGTCCAATAGCGAAACGAATTTGTTAGGGATTTTAGCTACGGACATTTTATCCCTGGAAAAACATTTTTTTAATGCTTGACTGTGACTGGCCGATTACAACGGAACGGAACAGTTGAGACCAATCAGAACTCTACAACCATACTCTGATTTTCTTTCTGCGATTGTGATTGGTCTCACTGTTCCGTTCCGGTGTAATTTCCGTTCCATGTAACGCTATCCTGATAGCCTTATGGCTTTCAAAATTTCGAAAAAGAGTCTCGTAAAAATAATAAGACTAATCAGAAATCATTTAAGTTTAATGCGTTTATATAAAAACGCTAATCTGATTGTCGTATTAGTTTTCCGAGATACCGGCCGATTCCAATCATCATAAAAAATCACCCTTAGACTCTCAGATTATTTTTAGATAATTATAAATATAGAACTGGACTTTGACTAAATCACGGTGATTAACGATATAATTATTTGGAACAAAACTTCGAATTATATATTCATTGTTCTAATTTTTCCCTGTATATTTAAGTAACAAAAAATTAATAATAAAATAATATTAATATTAAAAATAAAATTTATATTTGAATTATTAATTTTTTGTTTTTAAATTTTTCTAAATATTTTAAATACAATTATTAAATTATAATTATTGTATATTAATTTTACAATTCTAAATCATTGATGCTACATTATTTTGTAACTATACTATTTCATCATGATGAACCAGAATAACTTGCATCACTAAACTCGTATAAATAGCTTCAATGAGTTTTGAAGAAAAAGAAAAAATAAGGATAGAAAAAAAGAATAAAATACAAATTGTTATTATGACTTCAGATAATACTATATTATATACATCGAACAAACCGGGTATGCGTTGGTGTTATGTGATTACATTGTCACATTATATTGGCGCAAATTACAATCGCTGCAATTATTTTTCCATATATTCTTGCTACCGAACAAGAACCTATGAAAAGATAAATCTGGAAATTCGTTGACAATATACTTGACCGTATACACAATTGGGATTTAATTGATAGAATTAAGTTTCTCAAAGGACTTTATAGTAATTATAACGATAACATACAAAACATTTATATCTAACGTATTGCTCCTTCGTAATTCTATTTACACGCAAGATTCCTCTAAGTGTGTCACGTTTGTGTCTCGGAAAAATTCTAATAATATAATGGGAACGAATTATCTATACCTACTATTATCTACAAGAAAGGGAGAAGCAAAGTAAGAGAAAAGAATACCGAACATCTACATATTGTACGAAAGTCAATACGATTAGTTAAAGACAAGTATAATAAGTGTGCAAGCCTTAGCTGCGATTATTCATTTTCGCTCTTTGTAATCGTATCCTCTTAATACAGTTTGTAAGGAAACAAATAAACTATTTTCTCTCCTTCATTCCTTTCATCTTCATAATCCATTGTGTTCGCGATTTTAATAATTATTTGCAAAAATTTAGGTGAATAAGAATAGGGATGTACACAGAATATGGAGGTTTGATTATATATTAAAAGCGTATTATGAATACATATACACACGGCGTGACAAATGCATTGTTGAGAAATTTTATTTGAACTTAGCATGTGTTTTACATGCATGAGAATAATCACATTCAGTTACAAGTAAACAGCAATTGTATTCAATCCGTTTTTAAATTAATACAATTTTATTATTTTATCAACAATTATTACGATGTACGAATATATAGACATATCTGCTTGAATATGCACAAAATATTTTTTATGGCAAGACATTTATGACACCGTATGTACATCGATTGAATGAAAGATTCTCAGTTTAATTCATCATTATAATTCCAGTAATAACGTATAAGATGAATATTTGCGGATAAAATTAAATATTCATTTCAAAATACTTCGTATTCTCCATATAAATCCACGCACACACATGAGCGCAAACAAATACATACATACATACATATATCATATATATGCATACACAACCTTTGTAATTATAATATTGAGCATCCATCCCTTTCCAATTTTTTATCGAAAAAAATAGGTTTGTTCTTTGTAGCTTTTTGTACTTTTTATCTTTCTATTCTCTTTTTTCTCTAATTATATACTTATTTTATATTTTAAGTGCAGAAAGTGTGACATAGTACAACTACAAAGAACAGATCTATTGTCATACATATCAAGTTAATGTAACACAATTATGTTTTTCTGGTTCATCTAATCTGTAATTATGCTTCCGTTATTATCCTTCCAACTTGTGGTACTAATCATAATTTGTTTTGCCTAAAGAGACGATATAAATTATGTAACATACATAGTGATGTTACCAAGATCTTTTTTAGCCATCCAGACGTAGATATTCCGAATCTAAGACTGAATGAGAAACATTTACATCGTCGGAATGTCTCTCGCATTGACAGCAATTTTCAAGCACCAAATTTGCGAGTTCTTTTATACGTTCGTAAGGTCTGGGATCTGCTATTACTGTCTGCAGTTTCTCTAGTCCTCCTTCCTTCACTACTAATGCACAATATTTGAATGCTAAAAAAAATCGTATTATATCGTAAATTAGTAAAAGACGTATGGAGCAAGACATCAGATACTTTAAAGTATTCGACATAAGAAATATTAATATTGCATACATACAGTATACTTTAGTGAGATTAGCAAGAGCCCAAGCAGCCCAATGTTGACATGGAGGAGTATGATACACATCCAGTAGGCGTAATAATGGTCCAAACGAGCGATAATTTATATTACGTTCTGCATTTAAGTCCCAACTTTCAATCGCTTGCACCATGTATTTAAGAACCTCATCACGAGTTGGCTTATCTATTTTCCAAGCGTCGACACCATCAGATGCCATGTGTGCCAATATACCAGCAGCATTGTATGGAACCTATATAAATCGAGAAATATATATCTCTATTTAAGAGCTATTTAAGATTATGTTACAAATTTGAATAGTCAAAAATATTCAAGTAAAATTAAAGTAAATAATTTAGAAAAAATAAAAAAAAAATGAAGAAGGAATAAAGGAAATACGATACCTCGATTCCTTCATTACTAGAACGTAACAAATTGGCAAAGACAGTTACATATCGTTCCTGCATAAGATGGATCCGAAGATATTCGACTTCTGCCACATTTCCGAGCAAACCCATCATATTCCTCAACAGTTCTTCTTTATGCGGATATTGCTAAATACGCGAGAAAATATTATTATGCAGTAGATAAAAAATTACACACGGTTTAAGCTAATTGTAAGTATATTGTGTAGTGACTATAATCGAATATATATTGTAAAACTTACTTGTACACACTTTAGGAAAAGTATCATGCCTTCCTCCTCTAAGAATCGTTCGCAATTTATAGAAGTTTCGTCTGTCATATTCCACATAGTTGACCATGCGACTTCTAATACATCGTCGAATATATTTGTCTCCACCCTGTACTCCACCAATTCTAACATAGTCTTGACACAACCCAATTTACCAAGTAATCTTTTCTCTCTACCTTCTACTTGACAAGCTAAAGAGTTCAATAAATATATACCAATTCTTTGAACAAAACTTTCTGGTTCTGAGTGTTTGGCTGAATGTAGAAGCACTTTTACAAGGGTTTCATAATTGGACATCTATAAAAATAAATAAATAAATGATTACATTATACAAAGATACAACGTTTCTGTTTATATCTTGTAATTTGATTACAAAGGATGTAATATGAAAAATCTAATATCTAATCATGTAATGCAACATTTAAAAAACTGAAAATAATACAAACCACATCGTGTGGTATACGAAATTGACATAATGCCAAACAACCATTCCGCATCATAGTTTCTTCATCTCTATGTGTGCTCATACCAGCAAGGAGAGTACTGATAATCCTTTTCTTCATTCGTGCTACTAATTCACCCTTTTCCTTCATTTTTACTATGTAGAATAATGTGGCGCTATAATATACAACATAAAATTAAAATTGCAATTATTAGTGTAAGTTTAACAATTGCTTTCTCAAATGTCACAATTGCTTATCTTGGCAATTTATAAATTACAGAATGCATATTTGTAATGCTACCTTCCAGATATCTGTATATGCTTTTGAGCTGGATGCTTTTCCATTGCTTCCAAGACAGTACATAGCGCTTGATCCATTCTATGACAATTTTCATATCTAAATACGTGATATAAATCGCTCAATACTTTTTGCAATAATTCTTGTTTATTGTCCATACAAATATGAGCTGCGATCAGTATTTGATCCTCATTTGCGTCGCCAGCAATCTAAATCAAGCCATGAGAAAATAAGTGGATGAATTAAAAATATTCTTTATCTATTAAGCCTTGTGTCCACGATACTAGAAATCGGTCTGAGATCTCGGATGAAGGAAAAATTGACCAATTACATCGGTCATGTGACCAAATTGTTCAAATGTGATTTGTTAATTCTTTCTTCATCCGAGATCTCGGACCGATTTCTAGCATCGTGGACACAAACTTAAGATTGGACATCTGGCAACAACATAACTTTGAAATTGGCTACGTTCAGTAGACTCAACAATTGAGTGAGCGCTCTCTGT